TAAGAATACTTTAACTCATGAGCAACAAGCCTCGTGGAGGGGAGACAAATTGTATGTACCTGCATCTCTACATGAACTCATTTTACAAAGGGGCCATGATGATAAATCCTCTGGACATTTTGGATTTATAAAAACTTTACATTTATTACGGAGGCAGTTTTGGTGGCCTACTATGAGAAAGGACATATCTGAATATGTGTCTACATGCCCTACGTGTGCTACAGCAAAAAAGAGGGGTGGAAACCTCTGGGACTGCTATAGCCTGTAGCCTCTCCCCAGAAACCGTGGAAGGAGATTGCTATGGATTTCATCGTTGATCTACCTGAAAGCAGTCACAACACTGTTATCTGGGTAGTCATCAATCTCTTTTCTAAACAAGCACATTTTATTCCATGCTCTTCTATCCCTAACGCTAAAAAACTTGCCAAACTGTTTATTCAAAACATATACCGCCTTCATGGCGCCCCCCGGCAGGTGATTTCAGATCGCGGCCCTCAATTTACCTCCAAATTCTGGAGGGAATTTATTAAATTGATTGGGTCCACACAAGCCCTCAGTTCTTCTTTTCATCCTCAGACGGATGATATTCTGAGAAATTGAACTCTTTATTAGAACAATATTTAAGATGCTTTACTAACCACCAGCAAGATGATTAGACAGAACTCTTACCATTTGCTGAAGTGGCTTATAACAACACTGTTCATCAAAGTACTGGATTTACACCATATAAAATAACCACTGGGCAAGATTTTGTGCCTGTTCCCGAACTACCTTTGAAAATTTTTCCTGAACTCTCTACTTGTTAGGATGTTCTCATGGGAAGAAGGGTCTCTACTTGTTAGAATGTTCTCATGGGAAGAAGGGTCTCTACTTGTTAGAATGTTCTCATGGGAAGAAGGGCAAATCGCTTATCTTCAAACGAATTGTTATGGCTACAGAAATCACGCCACCTGTATTGGCCTTCTAGTTTGCACGTACAGTGGTACCTCTAGTTACGAACTTAATCCGTTCCGTGACTCTGGTTGCAACTTGAGT